AGGAGCCCATCTGAGAACTGAACAAAGAGGCTATCAAGCTTAGTGTGTGATTGCAGCCCATTCAGACTTATGTGAATATTGTCTTTTTCCCAGAGGCAAAATCTATACAAGCTGCTGAAATTGCAGCCTGCCAGTTAGGTAGAGATAAGAGAGCAAATATCTATACATATAACAAATATGTGTGGAGTAATTCATGATTTTGATACGCTTGTAAGCAGTATGGCTTCTTAACTGCATCTGGTTTTCCAGTTAAACATGGCAGTCACATAAAAGTCCTATTAGATGCCTTGTTTTGCCAAAGGAATTTGCTATATTAGGGTTGAGCCCCACAGTAAAAAGCACACTCAGGGATCAAAGGGTAATGCTTTAGCAGGTTACTACACTAAATGAGCTGCTTTAACACCTCCAAGCTGTCCACCAAGTCCAAGAGTCAAAGCCAAAACTAACTCCTAACTATTGGCATCAGGTCTTGAGTTAACTCCAGTATTAAGCATTTGATTCTGAAAAAGCGTACTGAAAAAAATCAAATTGTTTTCTTCTCGCAGAAAGCTATAGTGGCACCAAGATGATCTCTTGGTCTGCCCCAAGATGCTGAAATGAATCTTCTCAAAAAGTGTTACATGTTGTGACCCACTCTGGAAAGGCAAATTTAAAAACCATCAAAAATAAACGTTGGTAGGGACATTTCAATAAGATCTCAAAGTACATCTCATGTATTTCCCATCTGTCAAACCTACCATCTTGAGAGAATTGTAAAGCTGAGACATAAAGACAAGCCAAAACCTTTAGGACCTTTTGGAAATCTATCTACAAATGGACTTCATTCAGTTACTCACTTCATGTGGTTATGAATATGTCCTTACTAATGTGTTTTGTGTCTCCTGGTCTTCTAGAAGTCTTTCATTGCCATAAAGCAACTCCTTTGATAGTAGCAAAGAAACTTTTAGACTTTGTTTTTTCCACTTGGCAATACCCACCTATTTATCTAGTGATTGAGGTACTAACTGAGACTTGTAAAGCTATCTGAAGAACTTTAGTTGCCAAGGCCAAAGGCTTTGCCCTTAGTTCTCATGGCCATTAGGGCCAGTCTAACAGGAACTCATAGACTGTCCCCATACGAACTTGTCACTAGATGCCCATTGCCTATAGGGTTCTCACCCCCTCTCTTGACTGCTCTTTTACAGTCCAACATGGCAAATACTATAGAAAATGAATGCAGCATATTCAAGTTCATAATCAACAGGTCCAAGCAGCTTCTCTCAATGATAAAGCACAGGAACCCCTGCATGACCTTCAGCCTCAAGTCTTGGATTACAGGAAACAACAACAGCATAAGACTCTTCTCAAACTTCATTGGAAAGGATCATATCAAGTGTTGTTAGCCATAAACACTGCAGTGAAACTCTAGGGAATCAACCCTTGGATCCTTGTTTCCAGTAAAAAAGTTAGGATCCTTGTTTCCAGTAAAAAAGTTATCATACATTTATTTCCTAGACTTCTATATCAACAGGAGATCCAAAACAGAATCCCTTGGAATCTTCCAGAAGATGACATCAAGAAGATGATAGCTTTTCCAAGATCTTTGGACAAAGCAGCAGGCTGCTCCAAATGGATAGCTTCTATCCAAGGTCTTTAGTTCAAGACTTCCTGTGCCCTAAAAGTAACAAACTACCACATCCTTCATCTCCTTCTTTTCATAACCATCTGTGAGATTCTTAAACTTTCTTTCCATAGTTTTGTTTCTCTGGATAAATCAGGAGGATGAACAAGTATTATACAAACCTATTTAGGTCAAACCTCCCTTCGCCATAGACTCAGGGTGGAGATGGGATTTATTTTCCTGGATAATCCCAGATGGGGCAGGATCTTGTCTAAGAGGCATTGTCCAAGGCCTTCTAATGATTCTCATGTTAATACTTGTCTCCACAGTCATTTGCTATATTCTTTCTGGAATTTGAAATACTTCAGCCACTCACTTGACAAATGATTAAAATTCAATCACAAAGGCAAAATTTACCAGGAAGACAGGAAAAAGAGGTACGATGTTAAGAAAAGCCCCAATGGCATCATTACCAATGAGTCTGTGACTATAATTGCCTCAAGTGATATAGACCTAGAAAACTGAACAAATCAATATTTGGTTGAATGAGACTCAGTCTCCCCACTGACCTAGAGGAAGGACTGTGAGAATTTTCCACTGTGGCCTTCTTATGTCCTGGTCTCCTTTAGCTGTTCCTCTATAACCTTCTTATGCATAACTTTAGCTCCTGTTTGTCTTCATCCTTCTTGAGAACATCCAGACTGCTCAGAGAATGGCTGCTAATCCACAAGAATAATCCCCTTTCTTCCCATCTGAATCCTGCACTGGGGAGCCTGGGAAAATATCACAAATAAACCCAGGCACAGCTTTGCATGTGGTAGTAACCATCCTGGAGAATCATGTTTGGAACAGAAGGTGTTTGAAGCTGTGACATAGAGACCTCAAAAAGAAGTAGCTTTATAGAACGAAGAAGCTCTTATCTCTTTCTCATAACAGCCTTGGATTTAACAGTCCAGGTTTGGCCATGTCTCTGATCCATGCAGACATTTAGAGATATAACGTCTTGTTGGTCCATTATCCCCTAGAGCATAGCAGAAGCTGGTCACAGGCAGTAGCTTTTAGACTGTAGGAAGGGGAAGAAGCTGCATAGGAACACATGTCCTGTGTCTTGAGGCCTAAACACAGGGGCGCATACCTCTTCTACTCACATTCAGTTGGTGAGAAGATGGGCAAATGTTCACATCTAGCTGCAGGAAGGTCTAAGAAATGTGTACTAGCTGAGCAGTCATGTGCTCAATTTTATATCTCTCTATCTATCTCTCTATCCATCTATCTATCCATCTATCTATCCATCTATTTGTCCACCTCTCCCTCTCTCTCTCTTTCTCTCTCTGAGTGTCTATAAGTCTCTTCCTAGATCTGATTTCCAATGGCCTAAAGAGTTATGGGAACAGAGCAGATTTCTAATATAGATAAAATGTTAAGTATGTCAGGCACCAATAGCTGCCTACCCAGTATCTGTTTTCTTTCCATCCTTTTGAAGAGAACTCGAATTCTCCCAACTAAAGACAATTGCTGGGCACATTCTCTTGTAGTCCAAGGGTTCAAGGTGGTTATATGACACAATCTGGCCAATGAGATATAAATGATGCATTTCTGGGGGGGCTTTTTCTTCCTCTTTTTCCTGTATCCTTCTTTCTGCCTACTACACAGATGTACCGATGTGATGCTTGGAGCAGTAACAGCCATCTTAGAACCATAAGACAACCAGAGTGAGGATGAAAGCGAAAATGTCAATGATGGTAGAGCTGAAAGATGGGTTCTCGATGGCTCATTGGGTCATAAAACTACTTATGTGAACCATGTAAACCTTTTTGCATTTAAGCCAATATATGGCAGACCCTCTAATATTGGCAGTTGAATGGGTTTCTAAGAAATGGAGAGGGTGAGCAAAGGGAAAGAGAGAAATTGAGAGAGAGAGAAAGGAGCTTCCTTTCTGCTCCTGCCAGCTTCCTGAATATATATATATATATATATATATATTTTTTTTAATTCTACCATTATCTTTAGTACTCCAAATATATTTAAAGCATAGATATCAGTAAGCCTATGATGGACATTTTTCATTTTACCCCACAGATCCACTTCCCCATCCTTCATCCTGCCTGGTGCCCTCGGTGGCTGTCCATATGGACTGCATCGACAATTTCCTTTCTTTCCATTCTTTCATTGGGTTTGACTAGTAGAATACATTGGCAAGAGATCTGGAGAGCAGGAGGAAAGTAAGGTCAGGATATTTATTCCTTCGTCTTCCCAGCTGTGCTCCTCTCAACTAAAGGCCACAAGTCCTCTCAGATGGCCTTCTCCCCACAACTCACTTTCTTGGTTCCTGTAACCACTTCCTCCCCTCATTCATTCAGGCTGGGGTGTAGGGTGGTGATGGATCCCTGTCCCATTCTCTGTTGCTTTTCCTAAACTCTTCCCACATTTTTGTAAACAGTTCCTTTATGAGTTCTCCTTAAATTACCCAGTTTGAAAGTGCCATTTGATTTCTGCCTGGATCCTGGATGACCCATTTCTGGAGAGTGGTATTAGAGCCCTGCTTCCAAGATTAGATTCACATGGAAGCAGGAAGCTCTAGAGGTAGAGACAGCCTCTTGGAACTTCCTGTGCACCAGAGCAGCTCAGTTTTATCATGTAGTGGTAGGGTGAGAGGGACCAGGAAGACAAGAAAGAGAGGTATAATGCAGAGGTTAGAGCACAGAATCTGAAGCCAGACAGCCTGAGTCCAGCAGCAGGCAGATGCCATTACATCTTCTTTTTTTTTTTTAACATTTATTTATTTATTTATTATTATTATTTTGGCCACACCACTCGGCTTGCGGGATCTTAGTTCCCCAACCAGGGACTGAACCCGTGCCCCCCGCAGTGGAAGCACAGAGACTTAACCGTTGGACAGCCAGGGAAGTCCCAGATGCCATTACTTCTCTGCCTCACTTTCCTCATCTGTAATTGGGATAATAATAGTACTTGTCTCATAAGATTGCAGTCAGGATTAAATGAAATGTACATGTAAGGCACAAGAGTTCCTGGGACTTTCTAATTAATCAATAAATATAACTGTAATAATAATTATTCTTAAATACCAAGGATCAGACAAGATGCTGGTTGCTTCAGAGGATATCTGTGTGGACAAGTGAAATCAAAGACACATGCCCTTCTAATGAAGAATCTGATTTCATATTTTGATATTTGACTGCTGACACCTTCTAAGCCTTACCTCTTCCTCTTCCCTTTCTGCCCCACATCTGGACAAGCTGATAAAAAAGACTGGGTGCTCACCATTTTGGCACCAGCCAAACCATAAGACGTTGCTGCATGGGGACTCTCATGCCCAGCCCCAAACCCTAACCACAATAAAAACCCAAGCCAGTCTCATTTCCTTGCTTTTTTATTTCAGACTTGCTTAAGAAGCCTATGCTGTGCACCCCAGACACAGACGCCAATTATGTAAGTAGTAAACACTTCTATACCGTTTTGGTGTGTATGTGTGGCAGCATCAGTAGCAACATCTGAACCAAACTTTGGGTGTGGATCCATCTGCCTCTGCAGGTGACATAGTAGCCTTCCATTCAAAACACATTGGCACTAAAACTACTGGTCCACTACCCTACTTTTGACCCACCTTGGGGTAAGAGAAGGAAAACCTTGAACTGACTGAACTTATTTTCCTTCCTACAATGAATGGGCATCTCAAAAATAGAAAATAAGTTGAATCACAGAAAATGAACTTCTATTTCTTTCCCACCTTGAGTTGTAGACTGAGATTCACATCTGCTCTATCAGGTTACTGACAATTTAGTCACTGAGCAGGGCACCATCTTGCCCAGCCTTAAAAGTCTTCCCCCAACCAAGCAAAGCAGAACGAGGAGCAGAAAAGAGGGAAGACTCAATAGTGCCTAAGGTTTGAGAACTTAAGACTCTGAACGGTGCTGCTTTACTTCCATCTCCTTCTCTTGACCTCCAAATTGACGAGCACTGCCTGTATGCCTCTTATATCTTTACCAGGACCTTCCAGTGAGCACACCCATCCACTGTTTCTTGACCACCAGTAGTTTCCTTTTCCTCCTTAATGTCCTTTTTCTCTTTTTTGGTAAGTTATAAAAGTATTCTGACATAGGCTCATGTGGACAGCCCCCTTCTGGGTATGGCTTAGCCTAGAAGACTCCCATGGATAGACATGAGAATCATTGGAGGAATTTAAAAAAATTAAATAACTTCTGGGAGCCTATCTCAGACATGTAAAGTGAGACTTTGCTGACTTGGGACAGATAGGGATGGAAGATGTGGGTTAGGAACGTGTATGTTTAAAAGAAGTTCCCCAGCTGATTCCAATGATGAATCAGGTATAGCACACATTGAACAGATTAATTTTGTGACCCAGGATTATACTGATCCAGGGACGTTTGACCCAAGGATATGATAATCCCACCATTTGCTCATCGCTCTGCCATCAACATGAGTGGTTAGTACAGAATACCCAACTTGATTGGAAATACGTTAAAGAATTAAGTCATCAATACAGAGAAATTCCAGACAGCAGAACAACTTTGAAATAGCTGAGGGAAACTTCTCACAGTTAATTAGCTAAAAAGAAAAAAATTTCCAACTATCAGTCCTTTATCCATCTCCTACTAAATATTATTGGCAGGAATAATCAGTACAAAAGAAAATGACAGTGGTGAAAACTGTACATGATAAAATTTGTTAGAGATGAAAATCTGAAGAATCGTGTCTTGATGCTCACATTGAAACATGCAAACGTTAAACAGGGAAAAATTAGACTTGGCAGAAGTAATCAACACTAAATAAAACTGCCAACAACTACATTGGCACATGTTAAAATTTATTATTGCCTAAAAATTGACTGAAGAATCCCAATTTTTGACTAAGTTTAGGTATGAATAATTTGACCTGAGACAATTGGATTTGGTACAAATAATGGCTATAAAAGAAAAGCTGCAATTGCAGAAACTATAATCAGTAAAATTTGATATGAGCAATAAGGAGAAAAACCACATTGAATAACATTTTCATTTAAACCGTATGTGGAAAATAATTGATTTCAATGAAAAGAATTTCAGTAAATTAAAAATTAAAATGGAAAAAAATTAGAAATATCTTAATGCCTGGGAATAAATTTTATCAAGGAATTACAGTAGCTTAATAGACATTACTATGGCTCCAGAAATACTTTCTTAATGAGTATTTTAATCTATGTATGCATAATTTTAATGTAAAGTTTTAACTCCCAAACACAGGGGTCAAAATATTCTCAGAGCAGAAAGTCCACAGGGTCGACATGGATAGGTCAAAACAAAAAGCTTAAAACTTTCTGCATCCAGTTATTTATTGTGGGGTGTCAAGAAAGGAGTGGTCAGGAAAAGTCTGGAACATGGGGTAAACCCAAGAAGGGTAAGCATTCATGGAGTGCCACCACTTCAGGTTCCTGGGCATCCAGATGGCAGGATAAGGTATGTGTACCTAGGAGAAAGAGCACAGAAGACAAACCCTTTCAAATGATTCCTAAGCCCCTCTCTCCTTATCTAGTTTCTTACTGTGGGAAATGAACCATAATTCTAAGTCTTGAAGTTGACCAAAGTAGTCATCTCTCAAAATGCAAATCCTACTATAAAAAAGAGGAATAATAACAAGTGTGGGGGGAGGATGTGGAGAAATGGGAACCCTCTACACTGCTAGGGAGATTGTAAAAGGACACAGCCACTTTGGAAAAGAATCTGGCAGTTCCTCAAAAAGGTTACACATGGATTACCATATGACCCAGCAATTCTGTTCCTAGGTATATACCCAAGAAAAATAAAAACATATGTTCACATAAAAATTTGTTTACAAATGTTCATAGCAGTATTATCCATGATAGGCAAAATGGAAACAATCCAAATGTTGATCACGTGATGAATGGATAAACAAATTTATGCTTTATCCATACAGTGCCATATTTTGGGGCAATAAAAAGAGATAAAGGAATGATCCATGCTACAACACAGATGAACCTTGAAATCATGAAGGTGAGTGAAAGAAGCCAGTCACAAAAGACCACACATTGTATGATTTCCTTTATATTAAATGTACAGAATATGCAAATCTATAGAGACAGGAGGTAGATTAGTGGTTGCTTAGGGCTGAAGGGGCTGAGGAGAAAATGGGAAGAAAATGCTAAAGAGTACAAAGTTTCTTTTTGGGCTGATTAAAATATTCAAAAATTGATCATGGTGATGGTTGCACAACTCTTTGAACATGCTAAAAACCATTGCTTTGTACATTTTAAATTAGTGATGTGTATGGTATGTGAGTTATATCTCCATAAAGACTATATTAAAAATGCAAATCTCCAAAAATGGAGTCACATTCTAAAGTCTAAGTTTTTATCTCTGGGTATCAGTCTCCTTCTCTGTATAATAGGAATGATCTTAATAACTTATGAAGATGTTGAAAGACTTAATGAAGCAATGTATGTGAAAATGCTTACATATCATGCAACACACGTGGTAGAAACAGCTAACTGCCCAAGATCTGTGCTTTTCCTTCTGTGGCCTAGAATTTGCACAGGGAAAGA